TTTAGAAAATAGTTCCCCACAACTACAGCAAGAGATAAAATGACTGTAAAGGGCATAGGCTCTGTAGCCAGTCCTGGACTTGAGATCTCACTCTACCACTTACTGTGCACTCTGGGGCAAGTCTCTCTGAGCCTTAGTGTCCTCATCTGTCAAATGAGGATGATGAGAATAACTACCTCATAGAGGTGCTGTGAGGATTACATGAGATAATGCAAATAATATGCTTAGCACAATAACTAGCACAAACATAATAAGCTTGTGGTAAATGTCAGCTACTCTGGCAGGCATAGCTAGTAAGTTACAAATAACTCCCTTCTCTTTCAAATTAACAGAATTCCATTAAAAAAAAAAAAAACAACTGGTTAGCAATGACCTGGCTAGCTAAAGGACTGTAATTCACAGACTTCCTTGCAGTCTGGTGGGAGCATGTTCTAAGTTCTGGGCAATGAGATGTATAGAAAGTCCTGTGTGAGACTTTTATGGAGTCTCTTTAAGAGTCAAGGCCCTTCTTCCCTTTTTCCATTCTGTTGCCATGAATGCAGGTGTAATGGCTGGAGTCCTAGCAACCATTTTGAATTCTGAGGACTAACGTTAAGATGGGGTTTATCTGAACAATGCAGGAGGAGGAGCTTGGGTCTTGGATGGCTTAATGTAACCTCCATACCAGGCCTGCACTGTCAGTCTTTGGTCTTTTTTTAATGTGAGAGAGAATATAAACATTTATTTGGTTTATGCCATTATTTTGAGAACCTTTGTTCTTCAAGGCTGAACTAATCATCTTTCTTTCTTTTTTTTTTTTTTTTTTTTGAGATGGAGTCTCACTCTTGTCACCCAAGCTAGAGTGTAGTGGTACAATCTTGGCTCACTGCAACCTCTGCCTTCCGGGTTCAAGTGACTCTCCTGCCTCAGCCTCCCAAGTAGCTGGGATCACAGGTGTCTACCACGATGCCTTGCTAATTTTTGTATTGTTAGTAGAGATGGGGTTTCACCATGTTGGCCAGGCTGGTCTCAAACTCCTGACCTCAGGTGATCCACCCACCTTGGCCTCCCAAAGTGCTGGGATTACAGGCATAAGCCACTGCACCCAGTGAAGACTGAACTAATCTTAATTTGGCTATCCTTTGTAGTGGCCTTAGAATTCAAATAGAGGCTCAAAACCATTTGAGGCCTTTTTTTTTTTTTTTTTTTCAGCAAATAAAGGCAAGACTGAGCAAAAATATAGAAAAGGAGCTGCAAGTCTTCAAAGCCTTTCCTCCTCTTTCAGTAGCCACTCTAATGTCACCATCATGTCTCCTGCTTGTAAATCCAGGGCGTTGTGCCACATCCACACAACCTGTACTCTATTGTATTATATATCTATCATATTATCATATGATATCATATCTACCCCATCATCCGCACAATCTGGGCTAGTAAAACTCAGTTCAATCTAACATATAAATGACCATAAGGTATCTCTATTCTCCTTCCTGGGCATATGTATTTTATTTGAGACAAAGCCTTCTGAAAAAATGTTTGAAATAATCAACAATTGCTGTGGTAACAATATTCTGGGGTAAGGAAGTCCACACATAAGGCTGTCACCCGCCACTAAAGTTGACTGTAATTTAAGTACTCCACTGGCATATGGAAGCTAGTATACTTCTAAAGTGCTCACTTTCAACCCCAAGGAGTGTCAAGGTTTGAGAGCAAGTGAGGAGTGAATATTTGCCAGAAAAGACAATTAAAAAGCATCCTCAATTCCCCGATGCTATGTATTTTATACCTGTTACTTCAGCAATCACTATTACATCATCAGTTGTACAAAATTCTATGAATGCAACTAGGTTATCTGTTCATGACCAAAATACCAGTGAGTGGTTGAAAGGGGAACCTAACCCACATTCCTCCAACGTTGGTCCACTGTTCAAATATGCCTCATCTTGCCTCTTTTCTAATGTAAACTGAGGAAGTATTAATAGAATGGATAGATTTTATTTGAACAAGATGGAGTTTGTCTATCTGAAGATAAAGTGCAAGAGAGACCAAATACCATCTCCTTTTAGAAGAAAAAGGGAGAGTGTGTGTGCATGAGTAATATGAAGTTCTCTCCCCACAGAATGTGACCTCTGGTCTTGCTGAACATGCTCTCTGATTAAATTAATTTTTTTCCCCAGGAGCTCAAAGTGATCTACAGATGACATAATTAAAACCTCACTCACTACCTGTCTTCCTCATCCCTTAATTCTTCAACCAATTCTGAGAGTTTAAATGACTCTGACAGGGTCACTCCAACCCTGGTGGCCTTTGGTAGAACCTGGCTCTTTCAGGCTGAAATTGATGAGTTCTGAGGTGTCAGCTTGCTTACTTGAATGCTACAGAGTCTGCAAAGTGTCTAGGTACAATCGATAGGCTGGATCTAGGAGAAATTTCATATACATACACACGCGCGCGTGCGCACACACACACACACACACACACACACCTTTCACTGAGATAAAATTTTCAGGACATTCTATTGACTTTTCTTCTATTTGCTGGTCAAATTCATATTTGCCACTGTTGCCTTTATTATTACTGTTAGTTTCAGACCATAATCAACAGGCTCTAATCCATGACAGTGTAACAACCAGCAGACTTACTTTTTTAAGATATTAGGAAATGATTTGTAGTTCTGAGTAAAATAAGATCTAAGCAAAGGGAATCACAAGGAAAGTGCCACAAAGTCCTTAAAAGAGTTCGATGGAAAACAACGCAGGATTTCTGCTTGTTCCTCTTTGGAAGTCTCAGGTGTACAGTGGTCATTTAACTTTTAAATTATAGGGCTTCTAGAAATAGTTGCTACCTTAGGGTATCAGAAATTAACAAATCACATAAGGGATGAGCTAGAAATTGGCCTTTATCATGTAAAAATCAGTTTTATTAGGCATTTGGTATATAGATGTAATCTCTTAACCTGAGGCTTTTATAGGGAGTCAAAAGTTTCTGAAGGAGGAACTAACATACAGAAACTGCCAATTCAATTTATATGTACAGAGGTAGTAAATATGCTTTATGAAAATACAGATTTATCACACTCATACAAAAATTAGAAAGGAGCTGGGCATGGTGGTTCACACCTGTAATGACAGCACTTTGGGAGACCAAGGTGGCAGGATCACAAGGTCAGGAGTTTGAGACCAGCCTGACTAACATGGTAAAACCCTGTCCCTACTAAAAATACAAAAATTAGGCGGGCGTGGTGGTGGGTGCTCATAATCTCAGGTGCTGAAGAGGCTGAGGCAGGAGAATTGCTTGAACCTGGGAGGCAGAGGTTGCAGTGAGCCAAGATCACACCACTGCACTCCAGCCTGGGCAGCAGAGTGAGACTCCATCTCAAAAAAAAAAAAAAAAAAAAAAAAAAAACAGGAAGTTCATTTTATAAAGAGTAATTTTATAAAAGTTTAATTTACAAGTTTCTTTAATTAGTAAGTATCAAAGGAGCATTAAAAATTTAATTTACAAAATTGTATTTTACACATGTGGCTTTTTAGGAACAAATGAAATTGGTAAATCAAGAAACATGTTTTCAAGTTTCAAGTTTAGTCTGCCTATAAAAAAATTTAGGATGGGCATGGTGGCTTATGTCTGCAATCCCAGCACTTCAGGAGGCTGAAGCGGGCAGACCACATGAGGCCAGGAGCTTGAGACCAGCCTGGCCAACACGGCAAAACCCCATCTCTACTAAAAATTAAAAAAAATTGCCAGGCATGCTGGTGCATGCCTGTAATCCCAGCTACTTGGGAGGCCTAGGTAGGAGAATTGTTTGAACCTGGGAGGTGGAGGTTGCAGTGATGGAGATTGCGCCACTGTACTCCAGCCTGGGTGACAGAGCAAGACTCCTAAAAAAAATTAAAAAAAAAAAAAAATATTGTGCAATAAAAATTCAAGTATCTTTCATTAGTACAAATTAATGTTACTCATTTACTATGTTATTTTATTCTCTTAAACTAAAATATCTCCCAAAAGAAATTTGTATTTAATAACTTGATCATTAAGTATGGAAAAATATTTACATGAGCATATTACTAACTCCAACTTGCAACATCATTAGTTTTCATTATTTTTAATAAAGTATTTTAAATTGTTTAATTCTTAATGATTATATGAAGTACCCTAAGTAAAATATAAGTCAAAAAAGCAAATTATTGCAAAAAAAGAGATATCTTTCAAAAGTAATTTTAAAATGTCATTAACCAAACAATTAATTGAACTAAAATGTAGAAAAAAAAGAAAGTACCAGAATAAAGCAAACTAAATTGCTCAAGTTCTACAATAGCAACATTTTTTTTTTTTTTTACATAGAGTCTCACTCTGTTGCCTAGGCTGGAGTGCAGTGGTGCGATCTTGGCTCAGTGCAACCTCCGCCTCCTGGATTCAACATACCTCAGCCTCCCAAATACCTGGGATTACAAGAGGATGCCACCACACCCAGCTAATTTTTGCATTTTTAATAGAGATGGGGTTTCAACACATTGGCCAGGCTGGTCTCAAACTCCTAACCTCAACTGACTGATATGCCTCAGCCTCCCGAAGTGCTGGTATTATAACACCCCTGGCTACAATGGCATCAATTTTAACCAAAATATTCTTGAATTCAATACATGTATAGATCACATACAATCCAGTTAAAAACATGTCTTATGGAGACATCTATACTTTAGTCTCCCAAAGTGTGCTAATTGTGTATATACATGTGTAGACAAGATAGATAGATAGATAGATAGATAGATAGATAGATAGATAGATAGATAGATAGATACACAGACAGATAGATAATTTATCTGAGTACAGTTTCTCCAAATTGAGAGGGAGTGGCAAAGGAATGTAGCTGTGTACCCCTATCCACTTGTTCCTGTATTTCAACCAGATGAGGGTCTATTGTCACTCTGGATTGGAATGAATATTACAATGAGCAGTGTTTTTACAAACCAGAATTCTAACCCAAGAATTCTAGAAAAGAAGAAAGAACATGTGCTTACCGTATAAAGCTCATTAAGAACCTTCATTAAATCCTCATGAAGTTGGAATGCAATCTCTTTGCTCTGTAATTAAAAAGAAGATAAGAAAGAATATTTTAGTATTATTTACAACTTAAAAAGTCTACTGACTGAAAACAGAGAAATGTATCTAACACAATATAAAGACAGCAAGGCTCTGTAATAAACATCTTCAACACAATGGACCTTTGTAAACCCTAGATATTGTATACAGATGGTCCCCACAGGATAAACAGAGCAAACAAGTGACAACCTTGGGTGAATGGCTCCCCCACCATCCAAACAGACTTTAGCAAAAAGAGAGAGAAAAATAAGAAGGGTGAAGCATCATGCTTGCTTATAAGTTGAGCTGGGGAACTAAGGACCATTAAACATGAACTAGATCATCCAGTCTCCTACGCTGGTATCATCACGAAGAAATTTTACAGTGTGATTCTCAATAAACTAACTAAGAAACCAAAGGGGATATTAACTCCCTCTGTCCAAAGTTACAATGTGGCTGACTACAAGTTTACTTTTAAGAAAGCACTTTTTTTGATTCTAGAGACAAAGTCTTGCTCTGTCACCCAGGCTGCAGTGCAGTGGCATGCTCACAGTTCACTGTAGCCTTGAACTCCTAGGTTCAAGCAATCCTCCCACCTCAGCCTCCCAAGCAACTGAGACTACAGGGACGTGCAATCAAGCCCAACTGGTTTTTATATATTTTGTAGAGATTGGGTTTCACCATATTGCCCAGACCGGTCTCAAACTCAGTGATCTGCAGCCCTCAGTCTCCTGAAGTGCTGGGATATAGATGTAAGCCAGTGAGCCTGGCAAGAAAGCACTTTCAAAGCAGTACAATAGTAAGTCCACTCAGGGTCCACAAACTTTTACCTCTGCATTTATTACTATTTTCAATGAAGACAAAAACATGGAGAGTTTCGTTCTTCTATCCAGTTGGTAAAAAACGGCATTTAAAATACCCTTCCCTAGGCTAATTCTGAGAGTTTGGTAGAAGAGTATTTGAATATTGTTTTCAACAAAAGCTCTAAGTTATTTTAAAGAAAATCATATATCCAAATGACCTTTTTTTCCTGCTTTGAGTTCATTATATAGTCAGCTACATAAAATGTATAGCACAGCTTAATCTACAGTTTGAGACAATAACAACAGCTGCTGGTCCATGTATGTACCTCTCACTGGACTGTCAGTCTTAGGCATAAGGGCCATATCTTTATCAGTTTGGCAACCCCTTGGTGTCCTGTGTGGTGCTTGGGCAAGTGAGCACCAAGAATACAGAATTTAAAGAAGGTCCCAGTCCTGGCCCAAGTACATCTGTAAAGATAAGGTCATTGGGTCAGGCCTCAACAAAAGCCAAATATTATGGATTGAAGACTCATGAAAAATAAAATAGTGAATGCTGGGAAGATGGCCGCCTAAGAACAGCTCAGGACTTCAGCTCCCAGTGAAGGTGCAGAGGGTGAGTGGACGCCGCATTTCCAGACGAACTCTTATTGCCCACAGACCAGGAGATACCCAGGCAGAGGGGTCGCCAGCATCGCAGTCCCAGCCGGTGCGGCTGTTTTGGCCCCTGTGGGGCTGATTCCCCCCGCGCGGCTGCTGTGACCACGCCCTGTTGCTGCGTTCTCCGTACAAAAGCCACTGGTCTGGGAGCCCTCTTAGCTGGCGAGCAGAGCCCTGAGACGGCAGAGTTGCCCATTCATCTGAAATAGCGAGTCAGGCCAGGAGATTCCTAGGCAAAAAATCCGCCAGGAGCCGGCGCCGCAGTTCGAGCCGACTCCGTGAGTCGCAGCACGGGAGATCCCGGCGCCTTTTCAGCAGGCGACCCGAACGCGGGGTCGTTCAACTTAAAAGAAAAGACTCTGAGTCAGGGAGCCAGGTGATCAGGCTCGGTTGGTCCCACCCCTACACCCCCAACAACAACGAAAACAAAAACAGTAATTGGAAACCCTCTGGGTTGAGCCCTCCAAACCAAGCACAGCTGAACCGGGACAGTCCGGCTCCGTGGGGGAGGGGCTTCCGCCATTACTGAGACTCTCCACCGCTACGGAGGCAGGCTGCCGTTGCCGAGGCAACCCGCCGTTGCCGAGGCAACCTGCCACAACAGAGAGAGTCCGCCATAACAGAGGCAGGGCCACCGTTGCCGAGACAGTTCTAACTACCCCCATATAAAAAGGACTACAGGGAAGAGCTCAGGGCAGCTGGGCGGAGCCCACAGCAGCTCAGCAAAGCCCCTGCGGGCAGGCAGTGGCTAGGCGTGCTGCTAGCTGGGCGGGTCAGACCTGAAAGAAAAATCAAAAAAGGCAGTAGTGCAACGGAAACTCATAAAGCTCCAACTCCCTGGGACAGAGACGACAACGGGTGGATAAACCCACAAAAATGGGAAGAAACCAGCGCAAAAAGGATGAAAACTCCCGAAACCAGAACACCTCTCCTCCTAAAAGGGATCACAACTCCTCACCAGCAAGGGAACCAGACCGGATGGAGAAGGAGGGTGATGAAACGACAGAATCAGACTTCAGAAGGTGGGTAGTAAGAAACTACAATGAGCTAAAAGAACATGTTCTAACCCAACGCAAAGAAAATAGGAACCTTGAAAAAAGATTGGACGAACTGCTGACGAGAATGGACAGCATAGAGAGGAGTATAAGTGAATTGATGGAGCTGAAAAACGCAACACGAGAACTTCGTGAAGCATGCACAAGCTTCAACAGCCGAATTGACCAAGCAGAAGAAAGGATATCAGAGGTCGAAGATCAACTCAATGAAATAAAAAGAGAAGTCAAGAACAGAGAAAAAAGCACAAAAAGGAATGAACAAAATCTTCAAGAAATGTGGGACTATGTGAAAAGACCTAATCTACGTCTGATAGGTGTACCTGAATATGATGAAGAGAATGAATCCAAGCTGGAAAATACTCTTCAGGATATTATCCAGGAAAACTTCCCCAACCTAGCAAGGCAGACCAATATTCAAATCCAGGAAATACAGAGAACACCACAAAGATATTCCGCAAGAAGAACAACCCCAAGGCACATAATCGTCAGATTCACCAGGGTTGAAATGAAAGAGAAAATGCTAAGGGCAGCCAGAGAGAAAGGTCGGGTTACCCACAAAGGGAAGCCCATTAGACTCACAGCAGATCTCTCAGCAGAAACCCTACAAGCCAGAAGAGATTGGGGGCCAATATTCAACATCTTTAAAGAAAAGAACTTTCAACCTAGAATCTCCTATCCAGCCAAACTAAGCTTCATAAGTGAAGGAAAAATAAAATCCTTTGTGAACAAGCAAGCACTCAGAGATTTCATCACCACCAAACCTGCTCTACAAGAACTCCTGAAAGAGGCTCTACACATATAAAGGAATAACCAGTACCAGCCACTCCAAAAACACACCAAATGGTAAAAGAGCATCAACACAATCAAGAATCTGCATCAACTAACCAACAAAACAGCCAGGTAGCATCAAAATGACAGTATCAAATTCACACATAACAATACTATCCCTAAATGTCAATGGACTAAATGCCCCAATCAAAAGACACAGACTGGCAAATTGGATAAAAAGCCAAAACCCACCAATGTGCTGTATCCAGGAAACCCATCTTACATGCAAGGATACACAAAGGCTCAAAATAAAGGGATGGAGGAAGATCTACCAAGCAAATGGAGAGCAAAAAAAGGCAGGAGTTGCAATTCTCATCTCTGATAAAATAGACTTTAAAGCAACAAAGATCAAAAGAGACAAAGAAGGACATTACATAATGGTAAAAGGATCACTGCAACAAGAAGAGCTAATGATCCTAAATATATACGTACCCAATACAGGAGCACCCAGATACATAAGGCAAGTTCTTAATGACTTACAAAGAGACTTAGACTCCCACACAATAATAGTGGGAGACTTTAACACCCCATTGTCAATATTAGACAGATCATCCAGACAGAAAATCAACAAAGATATCCAGGACCTGAATACAGACCTGGAACAAGCAAACCTAATAGACATTTACAGAACTCTTCACCCCAAATCCACAGAATATACATTCTTCTCAGCACCACATCACACCTACTCTAAAATTGACCACATAATTGGCAATAAATCACTCCTCAGCAAATGCAAAAGAACAGAAATCATAACAAACAGTCTCTCAGACCACAGTGCAATCGAGTTAGAACTCAGAATGCAGAAACTAACTCAGAACCGCACAGCTTCATGGAAACTGAACAACTTGCTCTTGAATGTTGACTGGATAAACAATGAAATGAAGGCAGAAATAAAGATGTTCTTCGAAACCAATGAGAACGAAGACACAACATACCAGAATCTCTGGGACACATTTAAAGCAGTCTCTAGAGGAAAATATATAGCAATGAGTGCCCACATGAGAAGAAAGGAGAGATCTAAAATTGACACCCTATCATCAATATTGAAAGAGCTAGAGGAGCAAGATCAAAAAAACTCAAAACCTAGCAGAAGACAGGAAATAACTAAGATCAGAGCAGAACTGAAGGAAATAGAGACACAAAAAACTCTTCAAAAAATCAATAAATCCAGGAGCTGGTTCTTTGAAAAGATCAACAAAATAGACAGACCACTAGCCAGATTAATAAAAAAGAAAAGAGAGAATAACCAAATTGATGCAATAAAAAATGATAAAGGGGATATCACCACAGATTCCACAGAAATCCAAACCATCATCAGAGATTATTACAAACAACTCTATGCACATAAATTAGTAAACTTGGAAGAAATGGATAAATTCCTGGACAGCTGCATCCTCCCAAGCCTAAACCTGGAAGAAGCCGAAACCCTGAATAGACCAATAACATGGTCTGAAGTCGAGGCAGCAATAAAGAGCCTACCACCCAAAAAAAGCCCAGGTCCAGATGGGTTCACAGCTGAATTCTACCAGACATACAAAGAGGAGCTGATACCATTCCTTCTGAAACTATTCCAGACAATCCAAAAAGAGGGAATTCTTCCCAAATCATTTTACGAGACAAACATCATCCTGATACCAAAACCCGGCAGAGACTCAACAA